GGGGGGTTCTAGCTAACACAGACCAGACTTCCGGCTGGCAACGTGGTCAGCCAAACACTTCCCCCTGGCCCCTACAAAGCCTGTACATTTTGGCTGTTGCTTTGTTTGTTCGTTTGTATTTTCTTCTGGGGTGGGGGTAGTTTTTGGCGTAGTTAACGATGATGTTGTCGTTGCTGTTGGGCTTTAACTGTTAGTGCTGTTGTTGTTGTTGTTGGTGGTGGTGGTGGTGGTTTTGTTGTTATTGTTGTTGTGTTTTTCTTAGGGTTTCTTTTTTGTTGGGTTCTTTTATTTATTTATTCATTTTGGGGGCGAAAGGGGGGAGGAGTGTAAAATCCTTATTTTGAAATACGATAACCTGAACAGGGATCTCTCTTTAAACCCTTACCCAACACAAGGTAGGCCTACTTGGTGCATCGCAACACGATCACGTTCAGATGTCAGAACTGGAAATACAATGTCGTAGTAGTTGTCGCATCTTAAGTTGACTGACTTCTCTTAACTACTTAGACTACATTGAAAACAGATGGGAATTTCTCACACTGATAAAACGGCATGCTATATTTTTTGTGTGAATTCTTAAACTAGTTAAGCAACAACAAAAAATCTTGTTTCGAAACAATGTTTTTGTGCTTGTTTGGTTTTTTTAATCTAAAAGATTTCCACATCATAAGAAAACAGTGTTCAAAGATCAAGGTTTTGCTTCTATAATAGTGATGTTGCTCAGACCACAATCAAAAAAATAATAGTTTACAAAAAATGTAAAAGTAAAAGGAACAATAAAACATGACATTGTCCGGAAAAAAGCGAAACTCCACGAACACCTAAACGAAATGTCGGAGGCATCACTCGAAAAGCGAAATCTTTGGTCTGTGTGTCTACTACTATTTACTACGACTGTAGCTCCGACCAATCCGGCTCTTCCTCCGAGGGGAGGAATGGAGTTCCATTGGTTTGTCCCTTAAGACCCGGCACTTAAGTTCCCACAGAGTGAATAATAATATCACTGGGGTGTTGACCGTGTATCGCTCAAGGCAGAGACAAGCAACTCATCGTTCTATTAAGCTCGGGGCTGAAGCCGCACTGTGTCACGTGATCAGACATTAGGCTCTTTACATTTTACATTAAATTTGCACACTTTCGCGGATCCAGGCCAAAACGTAGACTGAGCACGCCCTTCCCTCCTACCCTCACCCTTTTTTATTTTCTTCGGTTCTCTGCGTGCTCTTTGGTAAGCCGTGTTAATATCAATGGGCCAAGATTGTGTGAGTGTGTGTGCACACTAGAATGAAGTTTTGAGCGTATTAACTGTTAATGACCGTTGGCGTGCGTTCTGTGTTCCCCTATAGTTTGTGTGTGGAGATCAGACAAGCAATGAAACAAGCGCTGTTGTATTGTATCAGTAGGCTTGGGTAGTTTTAAATTGGAATCTAATATTTATTCTTCGATGCAACAAAGCATTTTGTAGAACACTTATTGGAAATTCGATGTAGTTCTTTAATTCTCGAAGCCAAGCTCACTGTAAAGAGACTAGGGCCACATCAAATAGCGGAATTTCGGCATTCTATTGTTGATGGAATGCAAAAGAGATATTTTATTCATGAATGGTTCATCATGAAATGAAAAAAGCACTGTTCATCCAAAAAATCATCGGGAAATTTGCTCAACATAAAAATCAAAGAACACAAATCGTGTACATGTATAAAGACACATAGATGAGTCCATTTTCCTGGTTTCCAACGTGGTATTGTCACTAACAAGACTATAATACTTTTGAATCTATTTGTATTTTCGTGTAGTTTTTTTCTGTACGTGTTTCAATGTCTTTTCAGTTATTATGCATCCTATACTATAATCTGAGTCAGCTCAATGTTTGGTCATGGCTAGCCCAAACCTTCTTAAAACCTACTGGATGCCATTGATGTTGCTTGGATGATTTTGATTAGTTTAAAGTTGCTATTGGCTCAAGAACTGATTGGAAAAAAATGCCAGATCCTTTAAAAACATAAACAATAAACAGGTTAACTAATTTCTCAACAGTATGCTTTCAAGTGTTTGTCTTGTCATCATCTAAACATCTCTTCCAACTCTTGCAACCAGACTTGCAAAAATGTCATCTCGTCCTATTTCGAGGGCGACTTGTGTCAAGTCCAGATTTTATAACGGGAAGTACTTAGGTCTTACTAATACAGAATGAATTTCCGAGCTATGCTGCCCTTCAAGAAGGACAGATTGCTTTTTTCTCACGCACACTCTGCTTGTTGTTCTATATAAAGTTTGGTAAGAGAGGTATGACCCATCAGTCTCTGCCAGAGGTAAGTGTTTACAACAAACTACGAGTACATGCTGCGGTTTTCACCACCCTCGATTATCGACGCTCATGCTCAAAATAGATCTACATGCTTTCACTATCATTGAATTGTTTCTGTTTCTCAGAATGTGGGCTTACTTTGTTGAAATTGTCTTTAGTTATTAAAATTGTTCCTAATATTTCTGAAGAACATTAAACATCGAATGTATTATTCTATAGCCTGTTTGGCCCAGAGGTTACAGATGAGACTTACTCTTTTTTTAAAGATATTACTATACCTGTTTTTGTCTTTGTACATACTATGAAAATGAGCCCCTGCTTAGATTTTCCATCACAACAGTATCTAGGAGCAATTTTGGCTCTTCGTCTGGTTCTGTAATTTAAACCGTGTCTTTGCCATATCTAATGTAATAAATATTTATGTTCCATCTAGATCACTAAGATCAGGCGGTCAGTATCTTTTAAGAGTTCCTAGAAAAGGGGGTAAGAAATTAGCTGACAGATCGTTTGCCTACCTTGCTCCATCAGTTTGGAACTCTCTTCCCCAACCCTTGAGACATCTGAGTCTAAATTTTAAAAATCTTTAAAGACACATTTAATGACATCATTTTTATGTCAGTAGATTCATGTTAAGTACAATGTTATGTAAATGACTATGTATCTATTTATGTATTTTGCAAATTGCATTGTGTATATTATTCTATTATGTATGTGTATGTGGTAACGATTTGAAAGCGTGCGGGTGTGATAAGCAAGAAAATGTGTGTGTGTGTGTATGTGTGTGTGTGTGTGTGCGTGTGTGTGTGTGTGTGTGTGTGTGTGTGTGTGTGTGTGTGTGTGTGTGTGTGTGTGTTTGGAGTGCATGTGTGTGCACATGTGTGCGTGTAATGTGTGCGTGAGTGTGTGTGTATGTGTGTGTGTTAGTGTGTGTGTGTATGAGTGTGTGTGTGTGTGTGTGTGTGTGTGTGTGTGTGTGTGTGTGTATGTGTGTGTGTGTGTGCGTGCGTGTGTGTCACGAGCGTGAATATTGTCCGTACATGCATTTATGTTAAGCGCCTAGAGCTGTGTTTACACGGGAGTGGGCGCTGTAGACATTATCTTCATTCTAATTATTATTATAAATATTGTCTCCATACACTTTGTGGCTTGGACTTTCTTCTACATTCGAATTCGAAGCATTTGTTCTTGTGAGACGATAACACCGCCTGATTCCAATTATAGTTTGTTTCTATTTGCTGCACACTTTCTCAATCCCCAGAGTAGCTTTTTGGTCCCGGAATAATTATTCACGATTATAATTTTGCATCCTTTCCGCCTATGTAAGCGCATAGAGCATTGCATAAGTGGATATGCGCTATATAAATGCAATCCATTATTTATTATTATTATTATGTACAGCTCTTCCAAATGTTTAACGTTCATCATATCATCTAACATTATCAAAAGTATTTGAATAAATAATGAACCACAATTAATATAGATCTTCTGTGTCTCAGTATACCTTTCCATTATCATTGTTCGGCTAAATATAGCATTTTGAGTTTCCTTGCCAGAAAAAAAGCCAAATTCAGTTTCAGATACCTTTGTTCTTCACTTATTCTCTTTTTTTGGGGGAGGGGGGGGTACGAGAAACATTAAAATGTGTTTTCTATAAATGACTTATAAGGCTCATTTTTCTTTGCGACACACACTTTGTTAGAATCCTACTACTGTCATTGATAGAATGAGCTTTGAACGCAATATCATTTTTTTGTAATGTGACAAACACCTCAACCAGAATATTGCCAGACATTGTAGATTTTTCTCGATTCATTTCCTTGGAGGTTTTGATGAGTTTTAGCATTTCTGAAGCATTCCTGTACAAAAAGCATGTCAAGTCTATTTATCTGATTTCTACTTCTATCTCTTGTACTCTTCCATGCTCATCGCCTTTTTGGGGGGATTCTCAAGTAAGGTATTTGAAATCATAAAATTGCTTTCTCTGCCCCCTCCAATAAGACAATGGCACGTTTATTCTCTTTACATATTTAAACCTATTAAAACGTTTAATTAACACTCCCAAACTGCATCTTTAAGGTTTATAAAGATATGTCTTTTTCCCTCCCTGTCTTCACTACAGGCTTATTATAAATTCCAGAAGAGATTCCGCCCTGCATCACAGGAAAAAATATGGTAGGTGCCTGGAGTCAATAAATGTGACGCATAAATATTTTTGCCATTCAAAGGCACGAGATTAATGTGTACCGGACGTCGTTATCTCAAAGTAAACACGATCCTTGCCCTAATCAGAAATTGTGTAAGTGAAACTTTTAAATGTCACCCTGGCTGACCCCATACTGTTGTTATAAAATCACTAGCAAATATTATGTGGTGTATTAAAAGAAACAAACACCGTGCCGTGCATATGTCTCTAGATTTCAAGGTTTTTCCCACTCTAAAAATATAATCATTTCAACTGGCTGTTGATTGGCA